CTACACGCACAATTGTCACATTTTGCCTTTTTTTTTTTTTTTAGGGGGGAGGGAGCTCTCGTATTGGCATCCTGAACAATATAAATTTCTGAATATCATGACGTGCTCAAATCTACCAGGTTTGGTGTCTTTTGATAATTACGATTTGGTCCTCTATATTTCTTAAAAATCTTAACGTCAATTTACTGTATCTTTTTGTGCGATTTTCAGACTCCATGTTAAGAGTAATATTTTATTTCATTGCTAGGAATAGAAGTGGAATATGGAACAGTGTATTTTTTATTATATATATAATAATATTAATACATCATTTACCAGGGGATTAACTACAAAGCTGACATGAAAAGCCAAGCACTTATCTCTTGCTAGTATGTCATAACTCCCTGATAAGCATATGAAAAAAGCATCTCCTTAATGACTTCTATAAAAACATTCTATAATACAAAAATATGTACAAAATACAAATAAAATGTACAGGAGTAGGTATATAGGACTTGCACAGCAGTTCTTCAGCATAAGTTTAGGGTCTTATACATTTCCCTAAACAAGAAGGTATACTACACGTGTTTCCTAAGAGATTAGGTGTGGAAGTTCGTAGCTATTCTTTCATTATTTCCATCCAGGTCTATACTCAAAATATGAACCAAGAGCCAAATTAGTATATTTGATATATGGCCCATTTAGCTTACTCTTCCATTAATGAAGAGCAACCAACTTTTGCCTACTGGTTAAAACTGAGTAAATAGAAAATTTAATTAGAATTAAAAACATATATAAATTATTGTGCCAAATTTTTAACTGCAATACAGGGTAATATTTAAATAATTCTTTTAGCTGTAAAAAAGACATAGGATGTGTTCATAAGGTTTGACAAAAAAAAACAAAAAAAAAATTTGCCGAGAATGTTAATGAGTTGCTAATACTGGTCCTCTTCCTAGTTTTGATAAAAGCACCCCCCCCCCCCCAAAAAAAAAGAAATTTTGTTTACACAATCTTATTCAAAATATATTCATGCAAACATTTGCAAAGTGTACTTTTCCATGTATATGATCTGAAAAACAATGATATTGCTGGTAAGAATTTTTTTTTTGGCATTTAAAATTAAGATGCAGACGATGAATTACAATGTGGCTGAAGACATGATGACCAAACTACACACCAGAAGATGAGATGACGACGTTTTGGTCTGTCCTCTAAAATTATCAAGTACTGTACTGTACTGTAATGTGAGACTTGATAATGGTCCAGGACGGACCAAAACGTCGTCGTTTCTTCATCTTATGATGTGTGCTTTGGCCATTGTAAAATTAAAATATTTGTAGATATGTTATTAATATTGTTTCAGATTGTGATTGAGCCAAGCATTATCATGTAACAATGGATTTAAATATTGCAATGATACTTCACATTTTTTTTTTTTTTTATTTCAAAACAAATTTATTGGGAGTTAACCACCGCACTGCGCAAATTGCCTTGAGGGCCCCTAGATCAGGGGTGCACAGAGCGCCTCGAGGCGCTCGTAGGTATAGCGTAGGATTCAATACTCCCGTGGCTAAACAGGGCAATTCCATCATCAGCTTCTTCAGGGCTGTATCAGTAAACAGACCTCATTTTTTTTTTTTTTTAAATTGTGGGCAACATTCCCGGGTGTGAGAGCCTCAGTACTGACTGAGCAACCAAGGCTGGCACATGCAGCATGAGCTAACAGCACTGCTGTTCAGTTTGTGACCATAGCATTGCCTAAAAATGTCAAAATATATATGTAACGGTATTATTTAGCCATGATAGTATTACAGAAGAGCCCGATTGTGATAAAGACTGTGTGCAATGTTCAAAAATCAGTGAACAAAATGATGTTCAAGATGTTCACAGCATTAGCCACAGCACACTGCCATTGTTTGGTCCATCTAAGAATCTTGAAACTACTTCTCATGTTTCTTTACAAAACAAACTTATGGAAAATTATTCATTTACAGGATTTAGTGGCCAGGATTATAATAATAGCAAGATTGTGGTGATAATTAGTGCTGTGTGTAGTATGGGTGAGGAGGGAGGGAGGTAACATTAGCTGGCTGGTGTGTGGCAGCACTCTTGTTGTTTGTACTCACCATACCAGCTTAGTGGTTTGCAATGGTGAACACAAATGAAGATGCTTGTATATAACATGTGTATATATAGTGTAATAACAGCAAAAAGGAGTATGTTGGGAGGAGCCTATTTGGTGAGGGAAGTAGCATCGTCTGCTGGCTGGTGTGTGACTTGTCATGCAGTGTATGGTGGCCACTATGCTGTTTGGACATAATACAAGCTTAATTATATACTTATGGTGAACAAAATATGTAGATACTTATATATATAACCTATGTATATAGTGCAATAACAGAAAAAACACCGATTGATCGTAGAACATAATATACATGCCCCATAATTTTGAGCATAGCGATGTTCGACACATTGAACTATACAAATTCCACAATTTACACACATTTGAATAATATTACAGTAAAAAATCAGTGAAGAAACAAATGAGAAACATCAAAATAATTGTGAAAAATTATATTCGCAGCAACTGCCGCCCCACGGGGTGGTGAGGTTGAGTGACGCAGAGTGCTTCATCGCTCGGTGCCCATAATGTGCTCAACTTCTCAGCTCCATAATGGCTGAAGTATGTCACATACTGTTTTTTTTTTGTTTTTTTTTTTAGTTTCCCATGATCAGAGACAGCATTTTTAACATTACAAGAATAGAAAATAATTTTTTTGCAAAGAATTGATTTTTGGCGCACAGTGGGAATGTCCTATTTTAAGGCCGCACAGCATGGTGGTTAATGACATACACACACCCATATATATATATATATATATAATATATATATATATATATATATATATATATATATATATAATATATATATATATATATATATATATATATATATATATATATATATATATATATATATATATATATATATATATATATATATATATATATATATATATATATATATATATATATATATATATATATATATATATATATATATATATATATATATATATATATATATATATATATATATATATATATATATATATATATATATATATATATATATATATATATATATATATATATATATATATATATATATATATATATATATATATATATATATATATATATATATATATATATATATATATATATATATATATATATATATATATATATATATATATATATATATATATATATATATATATATATATATATATATATATATATATATATATATATATATATATATATATATATATATATATATATATATATATATATATATATATATATATATATATATATATATATATATATATATATATATATATATATATATATATATATATATATATATATATATATATATATATATATATATATATATATATATATATATATATATATATATATATATATATATGTCGTACCTAGTAGCCAGAACGCACTTTTCAGCCTACTATGCAATGCCCGATTTGCCTAATAAGCCAAGTTTTCCTTAATTAATATATTTTCTCTGATTTTTTTCTTAGGAAATGATAAAGCTACCTATTTCATTATGTTTGAGGACAATTTTTTTTTATTGGAGTTAAAATCAACGTAGATATATGACTGAACCTAAATAACCCTACCTAACCTAACCTAACCTATCTGTATAGGTTAGGTTAGGTTAGGTAGCCGAAAAAGTTAGGTTAGGTTAGGTTAGGTAGGTTAGGTAGTTGAAAAACCATTAATTCATGAAAACTTGGCTTATTAGGCCAATCGGGCCTTGCATAGTAGGCTGAGAAGTGAGTTCTGGCTAATAGGTACGACATATATATATATATATATATATATATATATATATCATTGAATATGACCGCATATTCTGTATTTACTACCTTCTGCTTTAGGGCTTCTATCCCTCTATTTTCTTAGCATTAGGGCTTAGCTGAAAGAGGAGTTCTCCAAAACTCATTTTCGTAATTTCAAGGTGAAGAAAAAAGTGAATTACTATAGAATGTATTACACTTATTTATTGATGGAGGTTCGAAACATTGTGCAAATTGTATAAATAAGTGTAATACATTCTATAGTAATTCACTTCTTTTCTTCACCTTGAAATTACGAAAATGAGTTTTGGAGAACTCCTCTTTCAGCTAAGCCCTAATGCTAAGAAAATAGTTAGAGGGATAGAAGTCCTAAATCAGAAGATAGTAAATACAGAATATGCGGTCATATTCAATGAGACATTATAAATTATATATATATATATATATATATATATATATATATATATATATATATATATATATATATATATATATATATATATATATATATATATATATAATTCTCTAATTTTTGTCAGTTTCATAATAAAATATAAAACTTCAGTATTTAGAACAATTGGTTAATGATATTGGAAGGATCATGATGTTGAATCACAGTGGCTGCAAAGCATTAGTCTAAATTTTCAGTTGTGTAGCTGAACAGATGAATTTGATGGTCTTAAATCTCCTATTAAAAACATTTTTATAGACATTAAACCATTTTTAAATGTAAATATTAAATTCTGCACAACAAACATCGGAAAACCAAGGACATTAAGCTGAAACTTACAATGCATTTTTCAGGTTGATTAATGCAAGCGCCTCTATAATGGAGCATACTAACTCACTAATAACTGTTTTAAATTGTTTGGTCACAGTAAAAAAATCATGACTTTATAGCTCATAACAGCTACATGCTTAAACAAAAAAGTGTTCCAAGAAGTAAATTTTAGTGGACCTTAGACTGTGTTTGCATAATTCAAGGTAAATGAACAAGCACTGACCAAGTGCTTGTTCCAAACAACATCAGCACCAATACACGAGTATGCCTTAAAAAAAAGCAGGTAGTTTGACAGTGACAGGCAATAGGTGAGAACAAGTCATTAAGAATGATGATAAAACATCTAGCATAGTGTTTTTTTATTTAATTATACATTTTTTTAATGGAAAGATGCCATGTCCTACTGCATATGCCATTTCTTTTGTGGGTTGGGATGGTGTGGGGGTGCATCTCAGAAGGAGTGTTAACAGGAATATAGTCCCAAATGAAGGCATATACTGGGAAGTCAGAAGACTCATCTTCAACATCATTAACCAAAAAATTTATCATCGTGACGAGTCCAGAGTTAATGCAGCAAGACTTCAAAACTGAACACACTATTATTGAGCTGTTAGTACTTCATTGGCATAAACCATGCAATATGATAGAGTATAGGTTTGGAGTTTTTACATAAGATGATACAAGAACTATATTTCTGAAAAAGTTATGTGAAATACAATATCAAATTTAAAAATTATTTTAGCTCACCCCTGTAGTTTCTCTACACCAAACATAAGAATTTTTTTTTTAATAAACAATTCTCAACAATCAACTTCCTATCATTCTTGTCCCAGTCTCCCAAAATAAAGTCATTATATAGCTATCACCAGACTTGGATATGCTTGACCAGTGCACATAGCTTTTAAAATATGATATAACTAGAGAAGGAAAAATTGTGAAAAAGTGTAGTAGTAGTGACTTAGTGAACACAGTATAACTAGATTTGGACTCTGCCAAACAACATTATTCATGATTTATCTAGCATTAAAGCCAATGGCAAGTATTTGCAATCACTATTCATCTAGTATTTGGGGCAATGTCAGGCAATAGTGAACTAAATTGAGAATGAAGTACAGATGGTGGTATTGTTAAAGTGAGAAACTACTATTCTAGACAATACTTGAGGAATAGTGTCAGCAACTCCAAAACTAGATACAAAATATTACCCTTCTAATATATATATTACACTTCACAGAAGTGCAAAATTATTCCAGCACTGCTAAACAGAGGCTAGCAGGTGCCTGAACTGAGCTCAGGCAATGTGATACAAACACTATATATATATCTACTTGTAATAAAATCACGATAAAATCTTTGAGACATTTGGTCAGACATTATACATAGCCAAATGATGAAACATCAGGCCAAAAATACTTCTCTATATGAGATAAGAAGTGTTTGTGAAATGTGTTCATACAATATGCTTCCAACTGGTTCAGAAATGCACAGCCAGTCATAAAATGCATGATTATAAAATGACTTAACGCAGAAAACCAAATATGTGGGCAATAAAACTAGTTCATGTCTTTCAATATACACACACACACACACACACATTCATCATTTACACCAACACAACAATCACAGTACTGTACAAATCTATGTGATATTGTACATAAAAGGAAATTTACGCTTTAACTTGGAATAAAAGATGTACCATATATAAAATATTTGGGACTTCCTTTTACAGGAAGTGTTTTTGATCATTACCCCATAAAAATTAATTGGAACTTTCAATTCCGTATCATTAGTCTGATGTATGATTCTACAGAAGACTTATCTGAATAACAAGTTTTCATGGAAAAGTTACAACTTATGAATATTCACTATGTCTAACATGCGTTACAGTGTGCATGCTAGGTGAATATAGGAGTACAATGTATGATTCAGTAATGCAACACAAACCATAATGACATGATGCCAAATATTACAACAATGTTCTTAATTACCGTTAAGCGTATAAATTGTTACACTGATGATTTATGTCTCATACTGGTTATGTTAATCTAATTATAGCTTTGACACTAGTACTTTTATCAAACTCATGTATCTGCAACTAGTCACACAAAATAATTAATATATGTCTATTCCATTTTCATTTTTTCTACACAAAAATGGAAAATAAGCATTACTGACCCCATAAAAATTAGTATTTTGTTTTAACACATTTTTATGAAATGTACTTTTGATTTAAATAACAAATCCAGAATAACTTTTGTAACAAGATTTCAAACTTATAAAGGAAGTATTTTCAAGAGAAATATAATAAAATGCAGTATCCCTGCATATATCTTTAAATAAAAGGTGTACATTCAACGACAAAAAAAGTTAAAAACTATTAAATCCTACTACAATTGATTTCATCCTCAAAAAGAGATGGAGGGATCTTGAGTAAAATGTTGAGCACTTGCAGACCGATGTCAATTTTAGAGCAGATCATGAAAAAATATAATGTTTCAAATAGTAATGCAAAAAAGGCATTACTAGAATTAACATACTTTGTGATGTACTGTATTAAAACAAGATTAAACACTTCCACACCAAGCTTGTCACTATCAAATATGGTATATATCTATTTCCAACATCACTAATTGTTTTTATTTAGTACCCTTTCATGGGCACAAGACATTGTAATCCATAAAGCACATTATGTCTATTAAATAGGAATGTTTAACAGTTATTATATAGGGTCATTTCAATATATGAAGTAGGTACAAATCCTTCTTCAAAGACAGAAGTTCGCCTGACTCTCGTCCATCCATCCCCTTGATCTAACTCTATTACGCTTAATTCCTCACCTTCAGTCATGTTCATGCTGCCTTCACTAGTGCCTGCAATAATAAATAAGACATTTAAGGTCACTAAACAAGCTTTTAATCCTCAAGTCTTTTCTCCATATCATATAAGCCACCTCATCAAAAACTATTTCAGAAAATGTGATATCATATTATCTTCTCTCACATTTCAAATTACCATTAACATAAAAAACCAGCATTGAATGTAATAAAACCCCAGTTTCTGGGTGAGCCCCGGAGGCTCCCTGGAGCTATAGACTGATATACGCTATATTAGTCTGGGGCTTCAGTCAATGAAGTCCTGCCTACCCAAGACTAGAGCCGGAATCTGGCCCCCTTAGAGAGCAATGGCTTAACCCTTAAATGGCACAAAACATACATACCTTATATGACTGGATATAACATCAGTTACTCAAACTTGCACAAACACTTTCCAATTTTTTGCGCATAATCAACTAGGAAATGATCCAACTTTGTCTAAACGATCACCAACATAACTTCAAAAACAAGAAAATAAAAAATATTTTTAAAATTTAATATTGAAAACTTCAGATTTTCAATCAGATTAAAAAATATAAAATATCACCAGTTATTCATTTGGTGTTATTATGCTCTCAGAATAGCATATGATCTTCATTTTCATCAAATTAGAATATAGGTTTTCAATATAGTTTACTGTAAAAAAATTGTCAACATGGCACTTGAAATATGCAGCAAATTTAGAAAAAAAATATGTATAATTCCACACGTTTAGGGTTTATGAAAAATCCATTTTATAGGGATTGAAGAACAGACAGCTGTGCACACTAAGTAAAAATGGTGAGAATCAGTCGGAAACTGTATTTTTTATCTGACTCAAAGTTGAAATTCGTTATAGATATAATTGAAGTTATCGACAATGAATAAGGTATAATTGAAGTTATCGACAATGAATAAGGTATAATTGAAGTTATCGACAATGAATAAGGTATAATTGAAGTTATCGACAATGAATAAGGTATAATTGAAGTTATCGACAATGAATAAGGTATAATTGAAGTTATCGACAATGAATAAGGTATAATTGAAGTTATCAACAATGAATAAGGTATAATTGAAGTTATCGACAATGAAAAAGGTATAATTGAAGTTATCGACAATGAATAAGGTATAATTGAAGTTATCGACAATGAATAAGGTAGTTCTAACTCATTAATTTACTTGTATGTTTTAATAAACATTGTTTGGCATTTGTACTCAAATATGTGAAAGTTGTAGGTCAATGTGTGTTGAAATGAAGTATAAAAAAAAAATTACAGTACAGTATGGGGATAATTATAACACAGTAATTATAATGATTTAGGGGATATATTTAGGGTATACCCCTGTACTTTATACAAGTGAAAAAGCCCTAATCTGGCCCCTAATCATCAAAACAACCTAAAGAGACCAAGAAAATAGAGTTTGAAATCTCTGAAAAAATCAGGCAAAAAAATTCAAAGTCCCAAGTTCTCGCAAGCTGTGACTGATTTATTTGTTGACCAATTTCATTCTATCTTCGCATAGTTAGGGACGGGTATGCACTCTCCAGGATGTAAAGGTTACAACAAAAACAGATAATAAACAAAGGAGAAAAAAATAAATACTTAAGAAAAAAGAATTTCCCCTAAAAAATATATTTATTGGACATTGATGAAAGAAACAGATACTAACATTGGGCAATGTATTTATATGATATATAACAATACAGAGCATAATAACATACCTATTATTATTTGTGTTGTTATGTATTAATCAGCATTGCTACAAAGGCACCAGTTGCATATCCACTTTGTGGACACTGGACACTTTGTGGACATTGTGGAATGAATGTAGGGAGCCAGTCGGCCGAGCGGACAGCACGCTGGACTTGTGATCCTGTGGTCCCAGGTTCGATCCCGGGCGCCGGCGAGAAACAATGGGCAGAGTTTCTTTCACCCTATGCCCCTGTTACCTAGCAGTAAAATAGGTACCTGGGTGTTAGTCAGCTGTCACGGGCTGCTTCCTGGGGGTGGAGGCCTGGTCGAGGACCGGGCCGCGGGGACACTAAAGCCCCGAAATCATCTCAAGATAACACTTCTTACTAATATTCTTCTTCTTTGTGCATCGGACAGGTGCTTCATCTCTTTATTACTGCATTATCCATCAGTTCCAGTTAACAGGAGCTGTTCTCCTTATCAACAAAACGTTCTTCTTTTAAAAAAAAAAAATTTGTCTAAAATCAATTTCTGAAAATATTTTGGTGAAAGTTTCACAATGCTGAAGCCAATAAGTTGGAGATTTGTTAACATTTGAGTAAATTTTTACATAATTTGAATGTTTTTTGCTTCCCGGCCCCTGTTTTGCGTCGTTTAAGGGTTAAGGAGACCCCCTTGCGTTTCGGGGTATTCCTTGTTTGCCATCAACCGGGTTTAGGCACCCAGAAAGGTTGGCATCTTGAAACAAACTACACAGGGTAGAAATTATAAAAAAACAAACACTGAACAGAGAAATAAAACTCTCCAAAAGAAAACAAAGGAAACCAGCAAACAAGCAATTGTCATTCACTGCCACCATGTCTGCGCAGCCCTCCTTTTCCCAGGAGGGGGGGGGGGAGCCCCAGACCAACATGCTGACTCCTCACACCTCAGTTTGCAGGCTGAGCATCAAAAACCAAACCACCAACCGGAGGGAGGGGAAGGTTTTGCTTTTCTTTGGGAAGGAAGGTGAGCCTCTGGGGCAGAAAATGGCATTTCATGCTGGTTTTCTATGGGGGAGCCCCTTCGGCGCCCTGGAGCTACATAACCACAGATAAGTAAAAAGAGGGACTTACCTGGGTCGCACTGCGAGGATCAACTCTAGGACGAGACAACTGGCTGCAACCTAAAGCCACACACAAACAACTGGGACCAGGAACATTTACCAAATAACAGGCGGCCAGGACCCTGTTCAACCTCCAAAATCCCCACGCCCAAATATCAGCCCAGGACAAGTTGCCAGACACAGCAGTCAAAGCAGCATACTTACGAACGTTATGGGCACATGGGTAGACCGCAGGCTGGCAAGACTTTACCATCCTGCAGACCACCTGACAGACCCAAGCCCTGGAACAGGGAGAGAGAAATCGGATCAACCCAAAGTGCATCCACGGACACAGAGGCCGAGGCACACAGGTAACGACACAGAGCCGCAACCGGATAACACATGATGCACCCGTGGCTTGACCAACCAAGCATCAATAACCCACGGAAGCTCGCCATCTCATTCTTCACCAGAAAAAAAGGGGACGGCTGCAACCGAACAAAACATCCACCAGGACCAAAAGAGCAAAAACCTCTGCGCCAGAGGAGAGAATGAAGCTCACCAACCCAACCCTCAGAGGCCAAAGCCAACAGAAACAGAGCTTTCTGGAAGTAATCTCAAACTCAAGGGGCTGACATAAACCAAGAAAGAGAGAAGAGAGCACTCTGTCCAAGGACCAGGACAGCTCGGGCAGCGGTGAAACAAAGCACGAGAAAGCTTACGGAATGCAAGCTAGAGCGGCTCTGCCAGTGCCGCACGATACGAGGCGACAATATTTAGCATAAGATGGTCTTGAAGAAGCCAAGAAAGAAAGGACAAGGTAACCCAAACAGAAATGGAAGAAAACTACAAAGGGAGAGGAAATGGCGAAAAGACCGCCAAGATGAGGACCGCAGGTGGGACACCATGAGAAAAGCTACCTGATCACAATACAAGTGGTGATACACCCACGTCAAAAAGACCAGGCGCGACGAGTGGAGGAGTAGAACGAACCAGCTACGTACTGGACTGGCTCGGTCTGCTGGAAGAGGCGGAGCCGGAGAAAATACCCCGGGTTCGGACACCGAGCAATCAGAACCTGAAGCCAAGGCTGGGCTGGCCACCACAGGGCTACAAGGACGACTCTCCCACGAGAAGACTCCAACCGAGCCAGAACCTGAGACAGGGAACAGGAAACCCCACCTCGACCAGTCCTGCCGAAGAGCGTCAAACAGGACGGCTCTGCAGTTTGGAAAGGGCGCCTCATATCTCGGGAAACACCGGATCCACGCTGATGTGAACAGTTCCCCCTCTGGGGGGCCCGTGCGACTGTCAGAAGCAACTGAGGGAGTCGTTGATGATCGTCCATTCCGTGGACAGGGAAAGGAACTGCTACGACGTTGGACAGACACACACCCTGGATGTGAACTGCACGGAGAGCTAAATTCCAAGAAACCAGCAGACAAATCACTCGAAGAGACCAGCCCCAAAGAGCCAAGGGTCGAAGGGAACCCCCCGCAGTTCAGACAATGAACCACCAGAGCACAGTTCAATGGGAGCCAGACCATTCCCATATCTGGCTCCAAAGGAAGACGGATCTGGGACAGAGAGGTCCTCCGAAAGGAGGGGGCAAGGAATCCAGCAGTGCAGATGGGACCAGTCCAGAAGAACCGAAGATCCACACAGTCCCATGACAACATCAGAACAAGCGGGAAACCCACCTGAGGGATGAGGTCATTCCGACCACGCTCAGGTGCACCCACTCCAAGATGACCCAACGGGCCCTGGGGGAAGAAGTCCATCCCACAGCCTCGAGCCTCAGAGAGGAGGAGCCGCCACCCAATGCCATCACAGGCTGGAAGGCATGACACAAAACGCCCATGAAGTGTGGGACCAAGCGTGGGCAAACAGAGCCAGCCTCACCTCCATCGCCCCGTCAACGGGGTAACCAGCAAAGGGACTGGAGCCCCCTCCGAGAATCCAACCAGTGAGCAGAGGGAGCAATACGCCAACCAGGCAAAAATGTAACAGAGGATGCACCAGCAAAAAAGCAGGAGGCAAAAGCCCACCACGACTAGCAGAAGTTGGAGCTCCGGCATGACCACCAAAATCAGTGCCAAACCCCAAGAAAAAAAAGTCTGCAAGCCAGGAAGACCCAGGAACCCTTATAACACACTCAAAATGGGGATGAGGACCCAAATGCAAATGAGGCCGGGTCAAGCGGGGTAAATTCTCTGTCGCATAAGAGGAAAACACCAAGGGCCTCCCAAACCTCCACAGGGGAAACCCTGAGAGGAAGAAAAACCTCCAGAATGCAGCCAAAGAACCCAAAGGAACCCAAAAACGAACCCAAGGGGAGCCCAAACCACCACATTTACCAGCAGAAAACACACTACGTAAAGGAAGAGCCAGACACATAACCTTAACCAAACCCCCGGCAAAAATGGCCAAAAAATTGACCGAAAACCGAGGGCCGAAAGAGTGGGAGCCAGTGGAGCATTCAGGGCACAGAAACTGGGCCCAAGACTAGGGGCCCAGAACCCAAACACAGAAAACACAAGACCAGGTGAAAAGATAAACACCCAAACATTCCCAGAGGAACAAACATAGCAGGAAGCCCCTAAAGAAAGAACAAAACTGAGAAACGGCAACAGGAGAATAAAAAACTTCTGACAGGTGAACAAACGCCCCCAAAATGCAAGCTCACGTGTCCAGCAGTCACATGTAAACAAACTGCAGCATCGCCCTGGTGGCCAGGCGGGGAATGCCCACTGAAAAGCAAGATGGCCATCAAAACAAGAGAAGCGTCTGGTAAAAAGTGGAAATCATGCCAGCAAATGGGAAGGAGGGATGAAAAAAAAAAAAACCCGCCCAGAAAGCACAAGGCCCAAGCAGGGACAAACAGCCTCAGAACTGCTAGCAGGCTCCCCCCACAGCCCCAGGAACCCCCAAGAGAGGCCCCAGGGCAGAGCCACCCTTCATGCCCACCCCCCTAGAGAAAGGCAGAGTCCAAGGGAATGGCAACAAGGAGGTGGCCTGCTGGTAAGGCCCCAGACGCCTCGGCGAGAGGAGCAGGCTCAAAGGCCTCCGTCCCCACAACAAAAAGGGCAGCCCCTGGAGCTGCCCAAGCCTCACCCCCACTCCGACTCCAAAACCCTTAGATGGTAGGGAGCTGAGGAACCACAACGGCAGGGGAAGGACCCAGGGGTGCAAACTCAAGGCCAAAGTGACCAAGGTCCCCAAGTCCGAAAACCAATACAGAGCAGCCCAGGGCATTCGAGCGGGCAACCAACCTAGCACGTTGCAACCACCCAAACTAATGATGCAACGCAGATGCTGCCTGGCCTCGAAGAACTTCCTTAGAAGAATGGGTAAATTGGAGTATAAGCTGGGAACATGTCTAGTAGGTGTCACCGACCCAACAGGCAGCATGACAGAGGCACAACAGAAGACCATCACCCTGAGACAAGGGCAACGAACAATCTTCAACCTCTCACAAGGCGAGATGGGACTTAAAACGCATCCATGGTCATCCACTTGGAAGCCAAGCCCCGACGGGGTTTTCCCAGGGCCAGTAGGGGGGGGTTCAGCCTACAGGAAGCCCAGGCAACGGTGCTGCAAAGCCAGTTTAGCCCATGTATGTCAACAAGTGGGAATAGGGCTATAACTGGACCCCTGAGAGGGGTACAAACACGGGGGGCTAAAGAAGGGCCCACCAAATACCTTAGGGAAACTAATAAGTCAAACCAGGCAAAGGCAGACCTCCTCCAAGCAAAAACAAAAAGAAAAGAAAATCCCCCCCCCCTCACCACAAAAGCACAACCACAGCAGGAGGAACAAGGAACACAGCCACCACATTGGTAGGCATGCTGAGCAGCACCTCGTGCCCCAAACCAGCAACACCACCACATCCTACCCAAGGCCAAACAAAGGCTACTTAAAACCCAGCTGGCCCCAGAGGCGGGGCAACTGTCGAGCAGCAGGAACCCCTACGGAAGTGAAGCCCAAGAGCACCAGGGAAGGTAATCCTAGATCCACAGGGTAGTACTCTCAGGGAACTTAGGGAATGCAGCCCGAAGTGCATGCAGCCTTTAGTACACTATGTTACTCCTGGCCAATGCACCACAAACAGCAGGAAACACCACAAGGGCATAAAATCCAGCAAAAACTGAGGCCAGAGTCGACATCCGCCCCAGATGCGCTTCAGCCACGAACTGAGGTATGAGGGGCCGGCGCGTACATCCAGGGCTCCTCCCCTTCCCCCCCACCTCCCCCTTCCAGGGAGCCCTGCGTGGTGGCAGTGAATGACAATTGCTTGTTTGCTGGTTTCCTTTGTTTTCTTTTGGGGAGTTCTATTTCTCTGTTCGGTCTAGGGCTTTTACAATTTCTACCATGTGGGGTTTGTTTTGAGACGCTTACCTTTCTGGGTGCCTAACCCCGGTCGATGGCAGATAAGGAATACCCCAAATACAAGGGGGGGGTCTCCTTAAGCCATTGCTCCCTGTGCCTCTCTAAGGGGGGCCCAGGTTCTGGCTTTGGTCCCCAGTAGGAAGGACGCCATTGCCTGAAACCCCAGACTAATATAGCTTATAACAGACCTATAGCTCCAGGGAGCCAAAAGGGTTTCCCACAGAAAACCAAAACATAACTATATACCTATGTATATATGTACTATATATATCTGACATCTTCTCTGAGTGGTTGGTCACAGGAGAAGTATCCTCTAAACATTTCAATGAGCCCCTAACATTAAGTTACAGTACATGAAGAATTAACCCTTTAACAGCACAAATTGTATACATACAATTTTGGTTCAAGTGGCTGAAAGGCACACATCATATATACACATTTTAAAGTACTGCATAAGAATTAAAATTCCCGCACAGTAAACCCATACAATAGCCAGGGGCGATAGTAAACAGTCACCATCTTGGAAAAAAAATCCAGCATAGGCTACCATAGCAAGAAGACCTCAGTTAATTTCAGGACACTATGGTGAGTGCATCACCTCCTGGCTCACGACTGCGCTCTGTGTACCGCTCCACCCAGTCATGACAGATGAGGAAATTCACAATGAATTACAGTATTTCTAGAAGCCGAGGAAAGCGATACTGATGACTCTGACATTGATAAAGACTATACACAGGATTCGGAGCGAGTCCTGTAAGAGACAGTGATAACATTGTGCCTGCCTCCAGGGTGAGGCCTACACCATCACCAACGCCTCCTCGCCTGTTACTCTGCACCATCACTACCACCACCACTAGACAGTTCTTGTGGGCATGTGCAGCATGATGTTGCTTTGGGTGACCAATATGTGGAAGACGACTTTTTCCGGCTTTAGTGATGTTGAATCTGAAAATAGTTTTATTACTCCTGTGACTAGTGGCATTGGTGTGTGGAGTGTTACCAGGCGGAACTTTGCAGCATCAGCGTCTGCCACAGCCAAAGGCCACCGCATGGCACCACATGGAGACGAGGAACAAATTCCCTCATGTTCAACTTATTTGCCTTCATCTTCAGTTCACACTCGTAGTGTGCGTAGGGGTCACGCAAAACACCAGGTGTACTTGTGTGGAGTGATGGCAAAGATTTTGTTCCACAAATCCGTGTATTTGACAACACAGATGTTGGGATTACAGACCTTTTCCCATTTACTGGTTATCTTGAGGTTATCTTGAGATGATTTCGGGGCTTTAGTGTCCCCGCGGCCCGGTCCTCGACCAGGCCTCCACCCCCAGGAAGCAGCCCGTGACAGCTGACTAACTCCCAGGTACCTATTTACTGCTAGGTAACAGGGGCATTCAGGGTGAAAGAAACTTTGCCCATTTGTTTCTGCCTCGTGCGGGAATCGAACCCGCGCCACAGAATTACGAGTCCTGCGCGCTATCCACCAGGCTACGAGGCCCCTTTTCCTGGTGAGGACATGAGCGAAATGAACTACTTTACTGCATATTTTGGTGAGTCACTCATGGACATATTGTTCAAGAAAGGAACAAATACGTGGCTGAACTCATTGAAAACGACGGACTATTGCATTTTTCACTAATATAGTGTTGGAAAGATACTACTGAAGGTGAAATGTATGTGTTTCTTGCAATATGTAGGATGATGAAAAATTGAGATGTCCAACAGACAGATAAGGGCATGTATATCAAGTCAAACACAGCATTATGATAAATTGAATCCAAATGCTTTGTTATTAAACATTGATAAAGTGGACACAAACCTTCAAAACTGTACAGTGCTCGACATGTTCCAATAATGGGAAGAGGTTCGGCATCATAAAACTCTGCATTGTCATCATCACCGCCGTCTGGCTGATCATAGGTGTCGGAGCCAGGCAGGGAGTTGTGGCTGAGGCCAATGCCACTCTCCGGACTATGAGACGAGCTGAATTAGTGGGTGGAAGATCAGTGTTAGCACACACAAGCAAAGCAAACACAAGCCAAACCACACAAACAATTTAATCTACTGAATTTCTTTGCTATATTAAGGGTACCGAGTGTTTAATTATTTCCTAGACTTTAATCCAAGTAAAAAAATAATCTATAATGAGTACAGTATGTACTTGTTTTATTGTTAAATGATTACAACAGTACTGTTCAATTCCATGTTTTCTTGTAAGAACTGTTGGCGATACATAGATTTTAATTAAACTTAAAACTTAAATCACAAGACTATTTAATAACATTAATAAATGTGTGTGTTCAGGCCTGAATTTTCTTAAAAGACAATTTGAGAAAGTTACCAAAGTGTGATTGTATTTTCTAAGTATATAAATCAAGTGGCATTATGATTCACAGTGAATATCAGTCAGCATTTGTAATTCAGTAGATGAAATTTGTTCTATTTGCAAGATGCAATAATGCAGCAAATTAAAAATAACATCAATTGTAAAGGTTTGTTATTTTAGTTATACTATGCCATTATTAAACAAAAAAACAGTTCAAAGCCAAGACGTATTAACCACCACAACGGCCATATCATTTGGAATTCTATCTGCTCTGGGGTTGACGATATGGCTTCTACATCATTAGCTAATTTAAATAAAAAAAAAAATCCCAGATTCCCAATCAAATTGCAAAGTAAATATAATGTTTTATCTATGTATATCTATAATGCCTTGTGCTCATTCATAAGCTTCCAAGGGGATGGCTACAGTAGAAGTATTAGGATGATGCTAAATCACTCCTCTTAAGCCTGTAACACCCTTCCCATGCCATTTCTTTCGTATATTGTTCTACTCATTCCTATCAAGATACTGGTAATCTGCCTCTACCAAATGATTTCCTTATTTCATCATAGTACATTTTTTTCTGCTAATGATTCTTCAGCATCTACTAACATGTTTATACCACCAAGAATTGCACTTCAGGTGTTCCACTACTATCATGTTCCCCCCCCCAAAAAAACAGCGTTGAATGTAATGAAACGCCACTTTCTGGGTGAGCCCCGGAGGATCCCTGGAACTTATCGGGCTAATGTATGTTATATTAGACCGGGACATTAGCTAAGGAGTTCAGACCTACCAGGGACCAGCGCCAGAACCTAGCCCCTTCAGAGAGGTTTCAGGGAGCAATGGCCCTGAAAAACCCCCTTGTGGTTGGGGTTTTCCTTATCTGCCATCGACCGGGGTTAGCACCCAGAAAAGTAGGCATAACAAAACAAACCCCACATGGTAAAAACAAACAAAATGGTAGAAACAGAGGTAGAAACTCCCTACAATCCCAAGGAAACAAGCAAACATCACATTTTACTGCCGCGCCGATCGTCCACGCAGCCCTCCCCGTCCCGAGAGGGGGAGGGGGGAGCCCTGGACCTACCGCGCCGGCTGCCTAGCATCAGTTCGGAAGCTAAGCTTCAACCAACACGAAAAAACCGCCGACCGGTGGGAGGGAGGGTTGTCAGGGAGCCTCCGGGGCTCACCTAGAAAATGCCGTTTCATTACATTCAACGCTGGTTTTCCAACTACCAGCACATCAGTTCAAGAACTGGTATGGTGGGCTGTTACCAACTCGCTTGAGAGCTGGGGAACCACCCCTTCTCCTTTTTGGGGAAAGGGTGCGGAGCACTAACAAGCAGGACTCCTAGTTGCACGAAGTAATGCTTGTTTGGTATCTTTCTAGGGGAGGCATTTTTATCTTTTAGGATGTACATTGTATAGGTTAACCAGACAGTCGTCCATTTTGATTCGCCTACCTTTCTGGGTCCTTACCCGGTCGATGGCAATTATGTCATACTTTAAATGTTAAGTGCTCATTGACCATTGCTCCCTGCGCCTCTCTGAGGGGGGCCAGGTTTTGGCTTGTGGTTCCAGGTAGGCAAAGGACTCCTGTGACTGATGACCCTAAACTAATAAAGCACTATCAGTTCGGATAGCTTCAGGTAGCCGACGGGACTCTCCCACAGAAAAAGAAGCTTGAGAAAGGTCAGAGGTTTGCAACTAGATTAGTACTAGAACTGAGAAAGCCTAACTATGTGGACAGGTTAAGGGAACTCAAACTCTCAATCCAGATGAGAAGAAATGGGATATAATCATTAAATGCAGATACTAGGGGAATAGATAACATGAACAGGAGTGTTAATTTAAATTAAAAAGAGGGAGGACATTGGTGATACACAATTGATTCTTAGAGATGCTAAGAAATTGTAACTTGTATGGCAGATGGAATGCACTGAAGAAAGAAATTGAGGCCACTTCCACCCACAAAAACAGAGTAGAGTAAGATGCTAGGGAGCCAAGATTGACTTGCAATTGCTCTGATAAGATCCTGTGCACCAAAAAAAAAAAAAAAAAAGCCCCTCTGCCATTATATTTCCACGAAGATAATCCTCAGAGAAAACCTAAAAAAACAGGGGCCTTCCTCTTCCCAGGCAAGTACTCAAGGATGACAAAACATTTGTCACTCATCAAGTAAAACAAGGGGTTGTTTGCCAGCCAGGAGGTAACTGGATCCCCATATCGCAACCAGAAAGCAGATGATCTTTACAAAAAAAAAAAGTTTGGATCCATCTCAGACGCATGGTCTTGGTCCCGTAGCAGAAGCAGAAGCAGGTTCATCTGAACTATAGCAAGGGTTATAAAAGGCACAAAGGAGGGTATCCAGGGTGCTTACTGGTACCCAGAAATATCAGCTCATTTTAAGACAGAGAGCCTGTATGATGCAACAAACCCACCAGGCCATTAGATCAAAGGGTAACCATGAACTACATACTGAAATATGTATTTTAACTACACCCTTTCCCCTCCCCCCAGAGGAAGAAGAACCGGAGTTGGAACAAACCTTTTCCTTCCCTCCCCAAGAGCTCTAAGGGCATTAATGTTGAGACAGAATAGCATGGGAAGCCCCTGAATGTTGGGTTGCTGATCCTCCCCCCCCCCCCTAAGACACATCCCCAATTAGTGCTGAATGTAATGAAATGCCTCATTCTGGTTAGGCTTTGGTGGCTCCCTGAAGCTTATTGCATTGAGATGCTCCACACGTGAGTCACATCAGCCCTAGGAGTTCTTAGTAACCAATTGGAAACCAGAGTCAAAACCCAGTCCATGGTTACCCTTTGATCTAATGACCTGGAGGGTTTGTTGCATCATACAGGTCCTGTCTTAAAATGAGTTGATAGTTCCCTGCTCCCCATGAGGTACAGGGAGCAGGGGATTATTATGATCACCGTCACTAAAGAAACATCCAGAAAGTGAAGCAAAACAGACAACTGCAAGGTTCATGTAGAAAAGAAATAAATGAGTACAATAGAATGATAAGTTGCAGTTGTAGAATGATAAGTTACAATTTGATTAGTGCTAAAATCTGAAAAGACTTTAGTTATTAAATAGCTTCAGATCATATTCTATCAAACCACAGTTTAGAGGTGTAGGTAGACGAAAAGTGAAAATAGGATGTAAGCCTCTGTTCCAATGGGAAGGTTTTAGGGGTGAAGGAAGAAGTGACATGGACAATAATAAAGAAACGAGGTTGTCCTCCCATACTAAAGTTGCAGAAATAGTATAATTGTAAGTGAAGATTAGTGAAAAGAATATGATAAAGAGTAAGGAAAATCCAGAATACAACTTGATGTATAGGAAATTACAGATCCAAATAATAGAGATACTGAAAACTGTTTCACCTTGAGGATAAGCAAAAGGCAACTCAAGCCAAACAGCAACTGTACATGATGTTCTACCTTCTCACTTGCATGGAAGTACATATGCAACTAAATAAATAGCAAATGGCAACTAACTTGGGAATCTCTTAACCACTTCTCAGATTGAATCATAAATATGACAAAATGTGTTAAATATATATCACCTGATTAAATAAAGTCTTTAGAAAAATTGGAAATTGGATGATGCATAATACCTTAAGCTCGAATAATTATGCAAGTTGCCTAGGACAACAGGTATAATATTCACTTTTGTTACACAGCATTAGAACACACTGCAATTTGTACCAATAAAATTAAGTAAGTTTTGAAAGTTTAGTGTTAAACTACACAGATAAGTAATTTATTCATCATAATTCATAAAGGAAAAACAAAAGAGAGCTATTCATTAACCTGCTAAGACATGACAATCGAGCTAATCTAAACATTCAACATACAATTTGACTCACTGCTATTTAAATATTGACTGAAGTATTATAAAGCCTTTCAATATATGGTGCTGGATTTCAATATCTATTACAGTGCTGCAAAAGGAAATTATGATATTAATAAAAAGGCTCCTGCAGATTAAGAATTAGAAAACTGTCCAGGAATGATATATTTGAGAACAACCACAATATGCTGGAGACATGAGACTGAGCCAATTCTCAAGTTACTGTTGCCTTAAATCTTAAAGGATCAATGATTTAAAGAGGAATGCATGGCTTGAAACTTCCTTTTCAAGAGTTATTGTTTAAAAAAAATTTTTTTTATATTAGTTAGGTCTTGTTCCCTCTTATAATGTTCCATCCCTGAGGAATGACCCTCTAAGAACTCCCTAGATTCTTTCACTAAGAAAAGCATGGCATGGAAAGAATGAAGATGCATTCGGCATAGTCAAACAGAAGTGAAAAAAGTAGAAAATTATTGTAAAATTGCAAAATGTTCAAATGCTGTACATGTACATAAAATATATAACAACAGTACAGTACTCCATTGATTTACAGTGACAGGCACTGGAATGCCCACAAGTGTGTGGTGCAGTGTGACTAGCAACAGTGTAGCAAGACACCACAATCATGATGGTAAGACCTCTTGCCTCACTCAACTGCTTCTCATTTAAAATAATATTAATGAAATTAAGTCCCTTAAGTAAATCAGTTATTTCAATATGGGAATGAATCTAATCTTGTTCCACAAACAAAGAAAACATTTCAATAGTTATTTCAATCCACCTCATTAAAATCTATAAT